TTGCATTCGTCTTTTGCCGAAGCTCAGACTCTGGCACAGGATCGAGAACGTTGGAAGCACTGTCTGACGTGTCTGCCTCCGCGACCCACAAGGAGAAACGGCTACGGAAAATGAACATGAAATATTTTCTCTCTCTCTCTCTCTTTCTCTCTCGTAAAACAAGCGTTTAAAATCATCCGATAAATGACACTGAGAAGTATTGCCGTCCGAGTTAGACGGAACATAAATCAAAGCATGAAATTAAAACCATTTTGGGTGCATATATCACGTGTACAGAAATTCTGTCCTCTCATTCATAAGGCACTGCATGATATACCGGACTATGGAGAGAAGTAAGTTTTATACTAAACCAGTTAGAAATCACCATGTGTACCGCTGCCTACATTTCAATCAAATCAGCAAAATTTAAGGCAAATTCAGCATCTCAGTTATTTGTACGACAAGGCTTGTCGCTGTAGAATTCAGATTAACAGTCAAACAGAGCTTAAGTTTACAAACAGTAGAATGCATGGGATGCAAACAGCGGGATGTACTCCGCCGTTTATAAAACAAAGCCATTTTCTAACTGTTCATAACAGTTATTAAAAATGAAAATATTTTATTAATGTCTTACCTAGTGATAATAATGGTCATGATTCCTTGCAACATATTTGACTTTAATAAGTGTTTAGTCACGTGTGGCGCGAATAATTATGCGAATCAAAATGCCCAATGATGTTCCTTAGCTCCAATGCTTAAGAATGTGTCTGAGCTTGTGATGGCACTGCTGTGGTACATTATATTTTGTGATGAGATTTCTGACCTCTGAATAGAGGTAAAACATTCATGTTGTTAATACCAACTATAACTGGCGTGATACGTAAGAAATGTATAGTTTTATGTAGTATAAACTGGTTAAGTAATTTGTCAGCACATCATAACTATGACAACAGAAAGCTCAAGAAGGCGGAATTGCTCTAACGGAGGACAAGAAACAGAGTCACATGTCAGGAGTACATCATGCAGCAAAATCAACTCCAGTTCGATCACTTCATTACGTCAACTTGCTTTTAGATGTTCGGCGGGCGATTTACGCAACCCGTAACTCCGTGCATCTACAGCACATCTGATTCTTTTACTGGCCAGAACGATACCTTGCTGAAGACATGACATTCCAGGAGCCGAAACTCCTCATATCCCTTACAAGATGCAATGGAACACTCGTTCATATGAACGATGATATGAATGCGAGCATAATGTTCAAGTGAGACCATAACTGAATGCAGGGACAAAATTCATATTGACAGACGAATTTACATTGTATTACAGGTTTCACTGAAAAGAACGAACTCTGATCACGTACTTAGAGAAAGAGACATAGAGCGAAGAGAATGCGGATTCAGTGTCCCTTACTCAACAGGAGTCATGTTCGATACAGAAATGAAATCAGGAAAGGCCTTTAATATTGGAAAATCCACCATGGCTTTCTGTGACATTGCAACAACTTTCACCATATAAGAAACAGCATTGTTTCATTAAACGAATGGATGACAAATGATAAAAACGGTCAAAGAAAATGTCGAAGAAAATATGGGCGAATCCAAAAAACGGCAAAACATAATCATACAGTAAACTGAGTCGAAAAGCATAGATTGGACTAACTGAACAGTTACAAAATATACATGACGTCAAACGACTACATAAAGTCTACTATTCTACTATGTGCATCAGAACGAGCTACAGTCTGTGACAATTCGGTCGATGGGTATGAGACAATAAAAACAACGACCATCTTATCACTGGATATTAAACTATACCCGGAAGAACAACACAGAATTATACAAGAATTCAATTAAGTAGCATTCGAACAAGACGCATAACAGCCAAATGAACTTACTGCACAGGAAGGTCATTATGAATGAATGGATCGGCGGTTCCAAATATTCGCTCTCTTGCTTCTGCATACGCGGCGACGCGCTCCTCAAGGGTTTTGGCTGACATGGAACCGTTCCTTGAATCACGGAGCGCTGAACTGCGCTGACTGGGATGAGAATTCGAATGTACGGATACGGTCTGTGGACGTTTCAGAATTCTTATCGGTGGAAGGTTGTCTTCTGTGGGTCCATGGTATGACTTTGGAAGGTCAGATATATCATCCAACAGGCTAAAAGCATAAGCTCACACAGTCACGGGACTTCAATGCATATTTAACACATACATTGCTGTACGTTATATTATTATATTATACCTACATCATCTGTGAGAAAATTACATATTATATTCTATATATCTGCAAAAGTGAGAGTGTATATTAGAGTGCCTTCACTTTTAAGGCAAAGTCTACAACCATACGACACATGAAGCACATAGTCTTCTGTTCCCTTCCCACAGAGTGGTACTCATTTATGAAAATCATAAGGAAGTAAGGAAAATGAACCCGATAGGGCTCGAAATTTCGAACTATCACTTCTGAATTCGACGTTATACCGAATGAGCAACCCAGCTCTATAACAATGCCTAGTAAATTCCTTGCTCTTGGGAATTAGTTGACGGTAACAAAACTAACAGCTTGATAGTAGATCCATAACGTTAGGGTGATTTTAATGTACTTAGAATTCTAAGAAGATAAATTCCAAAACACATCACATTAGGAAAGCAGATCGTGCAAAAGCGTGGTTGCGTTTCCTGCTGCTTCTGACAATTGTTTCAAAAATTTTCAATTTCTTTCCTACGTCTACGATTTTTTTAAGTGACGCAGATGTTTCGTTCAGTTGATGTATGTGCACCATGGCAGAAGGCGAAATAGCAAAGCCGACGATTACCTTTTCGAAGCTTATGGCTTTTAGGTAATCACCGTCAGCAGCGGGGTTTAATGACAAGACAATGAAGGTCGTTGGAGTGTCGGCTTAAATTCACCGACAAATATTAAATTTGAAATTATTCTGCTGAGAGAAGTATTAGGCTGTGACTGTGACAATGAAGGCAAAATTAATTTCGCTTAAGAATTTTAATTCTAAGTAAATTAATTTGTGAATCTACGCGTCATATACTATTTCTGATGATACACAATGATATAATTCAAAAAAGTCAAGAAGATAAGTTTAATAACTTATTGACAATGTTGCTTACTTGAACAAACCGCTAAATCTATTGAAACGAAATGCTAAATGATTCTATATGCCTCAACAGGTTTTGAAACTAAATTTTAGGAGCAAGACTTATTACCATGGGTAGAATTCAAATAACACGTATCTAAGTGACTTCAGTATGTTCTTGAACTTGTTTCCGCACCATAATTTTTTTTTAAATTACACCCTTTTGTTTCCACCCAACGTATGTTTGAAAACGTCAACAGCTATACTCGATCGGAAGCAAGAAATTTTCATGCGGAGATCTGCCACACCACCATTGCTTTAAAGCATTCCTATAAAGAAAAGTTCCGTCATGCCATTTGTCACCGTGCAAAATATGATGAGGACTGACTACAATAGACGATGGTTTGGGTGTGTGTTGTGAATACTTCCAGAAAGGAAGGCGAAACAACTGCTACCTGCCCAGCCGACAGGCAGAAGGCCCAGGGGACGGCCAAGATTAACCTAATGCAAGTGTCTTGAAGGAGTCTTTTCTCAACCGGTTTCCTTCTGCCGAAGCTCAGAAGCCACAAGGTGGAGAACATTGGAAGCACTGTCTGACGCGTGTGCCTCCGCGATCCGAAATAACACTGGGTTATGAAAGACGAAAATAAAGATTGTCTACCATAGCGCTTTAATGTTACCAGAAGATCGAACGCAGTATCTACTAACGCTTACCAACACAAATCAATGTCCTTCTCTAATGAGCTGAAAATCATATCAAATCGGGTTTATTAACTTGTGCAACGACTGATGCCATCTGCATCAGCCCACTTTACAAAACATTTGCTGAAAATTTGAAAATTGTTGCATATCTACGATCATACAGAATGAAATTTATAGTGCAAATCAACTGTTCTTGAGACGCCGGTTTTTACAGTAGTGGTGGGGAAGGGTATAATTGACATAGGTAAAGTTCTGCTTGAATTGGTAAGACGTTGAACCCGCTGAACCGGTTATGAGTACCATGGAAGGATAGTGTACACTGAAATTACTAGGGCAAAGCATGGCTATTAAAATCCAGCACACTCGTTCAGACGACAGGGAGCAACGATAGTAATGCTTGCAGCATGGTATAATTAATATCTTAAAGGGTATAGCGTAAAACGAAAGAAATCCTTCTTAGAGTTGCCACTGACTATATCACGTGCGTGGTTAGCCAATCTACATTGCATATCAAAATTCACAAATACCTTTACGTCAACTTATTAGAGGATTTCATCATGCAGCAGCATGTTGGTTACGTTCTTTTAGTTCAGAGGCTTAAACATATTAATTTTCAGTCACTCAAGCAAAAACATGCACTTGAATACACCCTACCATTGCACATGGCGCATAAAAAACTACTCGCTCGATCGCTCCGTACTTGTCTTGAAAACAGTTTTTAATTCTTGGAAAAATCCTTTAAACAACCTCAAGATGTGATGACCTCGCTGTGCACGACCGAATTTGATCCGCAGCAAAAAATTCAACGCTTAACCGTTACAAGATTTTTACCAGTCACAGTGATAAAAAGGATTGAACTTCAGCAGGAATGTTTCCTCATTTCCGGTATGGCGGGAAATGAACC